AATTTTATGAATGTTACAAGGCGCATCCGCCTTGCCCTGGCAGTGAAAAGTACTTCGTAAAGTGGTTGGAGTGGGTGCTACCACTGGTCCCGCTACTGCTAAACTCAGGCAATTGGCCTTCTTATGGCTCCTCTTATTGCAATAAAAGCAAATCAAAAAACTTGGGTGGTGGTGGCGGCAGTGCAATCGTTGCTGATATGACATGTCCTGGGACACTTGAAGCAACCAGAACCACCGACTCCATTCCCTAGAACTCAACAGTTACACCTACTTGTTCGACACTATACTTAGATTCTGCCCTTCGAAAAGGCACATCGGCTCTAAATATCCCATCTCCGTCTACCAAAACGACTGGAAATGTTTCAAAAAAAAAAATTAATCATGTGTCAGGAACCAAATTTGAACTGGTGACGCGAGGATTTCCCGTCCTCTGCTCTACCAACCGAGCTATCCCAATTACTTCGAAGCTTATTTTTATACTTTTTGTGCTCCTTAATGACCAAAAAATTGAATCTCTTATAATGATAATTAGCAAATTTATGTCGTTTTTTGCCACTCATTTTTCATAATATTCTTTAGAAATTTCCCTCAATTATTCTATCCCTGACTACTCATAGTAAGTTCAATTTTTTCGAAATATTAGAGATTTTTATATAATGATAGAAAAGGAGTTCTTTCATCTTAAAATCTGAATCATATTAGCTAGATATGGATAAGGGGACATAGCATACATATGGTGAGCTACAACAATGGTTAAAGAGCCTAGCATAGCTAGGTAAAGAGATAATTGAGTATGCCATGACGTTGTTAGGATCTCATATAGGCCTTTATGGCCCTGACCCGTAAATGGACCTTTATGAGCTTCTAAAATATCTTTTAGACCATGACCAATGCCCCAGTTGGCACTTTTTCACTCTTTCATATACTAGGGGATTTCACTTGGAAAAGAAAATGTTCCATACTAATGGATTCGCATCCGTAACCATGGGTTCTAATGCACGAGATCTTGTAGCACTTACGAATGCACCTTTCCGCACTTGCCACAACGGCCCGTGTCCTAGTAGCCTCTTGACCTCAAGTCAAAAACCTTAGGCCACTTGCCCGAACCCTCGGAACCCTGAACCTAATACAATTTCCTATTCCTCTTCCTTTCTCTCTCTCTCTCTCTCTCTCTCTCTCTCTCTCTCTCTCTTTCTCTGTCTCTCTCTCTCTCTCTGGCCCTTGCTATCATATCATCCAATATCCATCAACTGAATCGGCTCACAACTGCCTAATATCGCTCCTTAGCATATCATGGTACCTTGCTCTTTTCATCTCCTCGTCCACCACATACTACGGAACTAATAACTCCCTCTCACGGAACATAGAAGTTATCTCTTCTACCGTCTCAGTAGTCTAGTGATGGTCCTGGAATTCTCTCACCAGCTGTTGGACCTCAATCACAGGTGTGAACTTAGCCAAAAATCTCATCAAAAAATCCTCCAAAGTCATGGGATCAATCGCCTAGCTTCCCGAGGCATGTCAAACTTCCTCCCACCATTCTCGAGCGCTGTCTTTCAGAAAACATGATGCAAGTCAGACCATTGCTTCCTCATGATAATGACTAGAATGGAAGGCATTCCCAACGTCCTCCAACCAACGCCTGCTCGAAAATTGGTCCTTCTTCCTAAAGAACTTTGGGGATCCACATGCTCGGAACTTAAGGAATGTCAAAGTGCGAGCTCCCATCATCATCATCATCATCTCAGAACGAAAAGTGCGTAAGCGCTCATCCAAAATCTTCATGATACCCTCCTTGACCGTGTCGGATATCACAGGAGTCTGCTCAAGAATATTTCAGGTAATCTCTAACGAAATGAACTCCCACGTTTGATCATCCAAATTTCCATCTCCATAACCCGAACCTGAACCCTCACCAGTACCAGATCCTCCTCGGGTGACCACCATACTGAAAATAGACCATTCAAACCATCAAAACACACACACACACATACACACAGATATATATATATATATATATATATATATATATATATATATATATATATATATATATATATATATATATATAAACATTAAGGGATCTCATAGTCTACAAGCTTCCTGGTATCATCATGGATTTCCTTGAATCGAGTATGTTTCCTATGTTTCTAGTAGTACGGGCCCATACTACCTTCCACATCTATTCGTACTTTCCTCAAAGATCGCCCTGAATCCTCCAAGTTACTCCCTTATCTACGCATACAACCCTCTACAAGACAATGCTCCTAGCACCGAGCCTCTTCCTAGGTTTTTCTAAGGCAACCCCCACACTACTATCAGCCATCAGGTGAAGAAGGAACTCCCTAACACCCTCTAATCAACTTATGAATACAATGACATATCACCGACACCAGATAATTCTTCGAATGAAAGGTCTCACACTACAACAGTTAGAATCAAACAAGAGCTGCGCGATATAGTTAAAACCTACCCTTCTGAAATTATTTAGTCTCAGTAATATGTAACCTAGCATATTCGCTTAATATTTCTCTGAAGTTAATGGAACTCCTAAAATAACAAAGCAAGCATCATTTAAGCATCGAGTAATCAGAACAAGCATAACCTAAACATACCATCCTATCAGTAACTGATTAGTACTAGCATGCAAGTCTATAAGCTCATATAGTAGGCACATAAAGGTATCTCTCTTGGATCATTGGCCCTAATCTAGAATGTGATGCACATATTCACAAATCAAAGCATATCATAAAACATGTATCGGTATTTTGGGAAAACTTACTTGAGTTCGGTTGAATGCATACACCACACCCCTTTCTTTTATTAGAAAACTCTTTTTATAGAACATTTCCTTTTCATAAAATCTACCAAATTCTCAGTTTGAGTTCAGACACACCCGAGAGTATGCCTAGATCCCTAAAACCAAGGCTCTGATACCAAATTTTAACGTCCCAAAATTTAAGAGTAAAAGTTTCATTTTTATAACAATAAAACCATCATCCAAAATGTTTCATAAAAGCCATAATGAAATCAGTCTATATCAATAGTCATCCAGTTACATTAGAATCAAATAAAATGCGGAACAATGTGGTGTGTGAGATGCAATCATACTGAGTTCTTTCCCTTCGATCCGGAAGTACCTGAAACATAAACTAAAAACTATAAGCACGAAGCTTAGTGAGTTCCCCAAAATACCTGATACCATACATATCAAACAGACAATAGGCCATGCCCATCAACCATCAGGCCTTGCTCGGAACAGATATGTCAATAATATGAGATGGTTCTGCCTCATCACATTCATCAGTCCCCGACCGGTATACATATAGACAAATAAACACATGCAATAATCAGTAAGACAATTATCATACAATACACTCATCAAGCCAATCAAGTATACATATCATATAAAACACATGCAAGAGTCACACATAGAACTAGCATCCTAGCTATAATAAATCATGGGCCGACGTTAGTTCCTTCAACCCTCAAAATGCTAAGAGGACACTCTCCTTAAACTACTGAAAATCAGATAACTACTCGGAGTGCTAATCAGGAAAGTCCCCACACTCTATGGTCCTAGAAATGATGTGAGAAACCTAGATCTACAAGTTCTCCTTTGATCAAAGCTCCTTCCCCCAAGCTCTTCTTCTTCAACTCTCACCAACACACACTAAAAACACACACAAGACGGCCAAATCTCTTCAAGAGGGTCTAAGGTTTTGAAATGGGACTCAAAGAGCTATGGAGGCTGAGAAATGAGAGGATCAAGGTTCATTAAGTTGTTTAAATAGGGTCCAAACCCTAAAATTTAGGGTGCGTCCCCTGCATGTGTACACCCCGTGTACGAGGAGTACGCCTAGCATACTCCAACTTTTCCAGAAATGGCAAAACTGCCCCCTAGGGACCAAATCTGTTAAATATTTACATACCAAGGGTCAAAAAAGAATGTAATTTAAATCAGGTGTTATAGGTTGCATTTTATATGTTTGTCAACGACCTTAGAATGATCAAAATGCTTTCCTACATGAGAAAATGATTTTATATGGTAATGAAGTATCACATCATCTATATTTAGTCATTTTTTTATAGAATTTACCGTTGTTTTTGTTGTTTAAAAAATAGCATTTAGACTGGAATACAGGCCGGTTTACCTACTAAAAAAATTTTACTAAACTTTTATTTGTTGTTCAATAAGTACCATTAAACTTATATTTTTATACACAAAATTTACCATTAAACCAACTTTTTACACATTTAGTCACTTTCATCTTTTCCAACCATCATCAATTTTCGGTCATCTTCTATGGCGAACACAATTCCAAAGAAGAAAGAAAACACCATTTTACATGTTCATTTTACAAACATTGCAAAGTGCATGCTCTCCTTCTTCATCTCTCTCGTGAAAATGGCCCAAGCCCTCCATTTACTACCACCCGCATCCATCGATCCCGGTGCCACTCGCCTTTCCCTAGTCCTCTGTAACTCCTACTACTTTGTTTAAACCACTCTTACCCCCCCCCCCCCCCCCCCGACACCCACACACACACATTCTTTTCCTATGCCCATTCTTCTTAAATTGTGTGCCACCGGCAGTCACCTTCATTAAAGCTGACTGGAGGTTTGAATCGATTTCTAGGTTTGAATGTGAGTTTGAATCGATTCTGAAGTAGGTTAAAGCTGATTGTAGATTAGTATCTTATTGGTCATGGTGGTCAATGGTTGATATGGGTGGTTGTGGTATAGAATGGCAGTGTTTGTTGTTGGAGGTGGATGGTGGGAATGGGAGGTGGACGGTGGTGGTGAGAATGGATGGTGGTCGTTGAAGAAGACTGACATAACTTAATAGTAAATCGTGTACACAAAAATTGTAGATTGTGTAAAATACCTATAACCTGCAATATGCATGGTCAGGATGATAAATTTTGACAAGTTCGAGTGAATTTAATGATAAATCGTGTAACAGAAAAATGATTAAAAATATATAAAAATAATAATTTGTTAACATACAATGTCTTTTCCCTTCTTACAAACTAAAATTAATAAAGACCATATACTCTCTTACTTAAAAGAAACTTATCAGTATATACAAAATAGAAAAGAAGACAAGTTTGAGCTAGTTAAATCAGCGGTCAAGATCTATGGTGCAAGAACCAAAACTTTAACCAGGCCCCGACTATTAGCAGCCAACATCGTGGGACTATCACTCTTCCAACATACAGCACTAACAAAATCAGACCCTCTGTCTTTATCACTATCCTCTACATTCAGTGTCTCGAATCTATGCCACGTCAGCGGTTTTGACATCGCCTAAAAACAACCCACAAAACTTCCATTACTCTTCATCATTATAATGTAAAACTTCTATCCAAAAGTAAATGCGACATTTTCTTTACCTTATGATAAACATATACTTCATTAGTTTCACTGCCGCAAGCAAGAAAATCACGGTATACAGAAAGCCCCACAAAATTTAAATAATTTGCATGACCTTTCAACTTCTGAACCTGGAAATAATACGATTATATAAAAAAGTTAAAATCAAGGAAACGGAGAATATAAAAAAAAAAAAAAAAAAAAAAAATGAGTAAAAAGTTGCTCACGGGAATGTTTCTTGTCACGTCCCATAAGCATAAGGTACTGTCGGTTGATGCAGATGCCAACTCGTCATTTGACAGAAACTTTACATGTGACACGGATTTTTGGTGGCCAATAAAGATATTAAGAGGATAGCTTATGTTCCTTATATCATAGTAATAAATATAATGGTCTGCTGATCCCACCTGTGGATTCCAAAAAAATTGTAATAAAAACATGATATTTTTTAAGTTTTTTTATGTATGAAAATAAAATTACCGCAATGTGATTGCTCGACCCTGGATTGTACTTGACAGAACAAATGTTTGCACTCATTTTAATGTTGATCACACTTGATTCTTGCTTTGTGCACCAAATTTTAACCAGTGAAAAAGAGCAACATACTTTAGATTTCATTACAAAATCAAAGAAATCAGAAATAATTTACTATTTTCTGTAAAGAGAAAGTAAATTCCCTAAAATGCAAAGTGACCGAAAGTAGGATGCTATTTTCTGCAATACTACCTTATGGTCATCACCACCAGAAACAAGCATTGACGATTCTAGGTGTGAAAAATCAACACTCCAGGCACGTTTGTTGTGTTCTTTGAACTCCATCACACCCTGGATGTTCCACATGATAAAAACATTATTATATCTTTTTAATACAAGTAATAAAATTTAATTGTAAAATGCATTTAGTTACCTGTCGGGTATTTACATCCCAGATGGTTACTATTCCTTCATAATCACTGCTAGCTATATGGTTCTTTGTATGCTTGTTCCAACTCAAGCAACTAAGTTTTGATCTAGTTGGCATTTCCACTAAAGGGAAACGTAATTCCGAGGGTTCATTAACCATCTGAAAGTAAAGGTAGCATGTGAGAACCATACTGACCAATTATTAATATTGAAGGGAAAGAAAATGTAGAAAAAATCTCACCGTTGAATAGTCAAAAATATTTATACGCCTTGAAACGCCAGCAGTAGCAAATAGTTTGTCATCATGGTTAAACTCAATGCTGTGGTAAAGTACATATATAATGCAAATTTCAGTACGCTTTTCATCCATAATAGCAATGTACTCGAGCTCAGATTGATAATGTACTTGAGTAGCTTGAGCTCAAGCTTAACTCGAGATAAACTATGTTGATTTCGAATATTTTTCGACTCAGTCTCGATTATATTATGAGTTGGCTTGACTTTGTTACACTCCTACTTTATAACCATAGTAGCAATACATTTACATTTATTTATCCAAAATAATAGCCAAGAGGGTCCATTGGTTTTTCATACCTAGGGCGATATAAACTATGTGGATTCCGAGTATTTTTCGAGTCAGTCTCGATAATAAAATGATGCCCTATGTTTCTACCATAAGATAAACCAAACACATAAAAAATAAATAAATAAATAAAAACATATATAGAAAAAGTGCAATAAACTTTACGATTAAAGAAAAATTATATTAATACAAATAAAAACTTACGAAAAGTTCTAAAAGGATTTTGCATTTGTGATTCCGATTAATAGCACTATACCTAATTAAACTTGTAATATGTACTTTATTTTTTACCCATAATGTAAAAAACATATTGTTATTATTAGTTTTAAATAGGGATAATAACTTAAAAAGGTAATATATTTTTCGATTTGTATATATTTGGTCGCTGAGTTTTTTTTTCATCTACATTTACCCCTTCAACTTGTTAAACTATACACATCCAGTCCTTAGGACCGGTTACTCCAGGTTAGCTGGGAAAAATAACTTATTAGAATCATATATTTCTCATTTTGTATACATTTAGTCCTTAATATTTTTGTACACATTTAGTCCTTAATATATATTTTTTTTCAAAATATGTCATTTTTTTGTTCTTGTGCCAATTCAGTAGTTATGAATGATTTATTTAGGGATTTTCTCACGACATCTAGCATGAGACTATCATTGATGCCAGGGACGGATCTCTTTGGGTGCCCATAGTGGCATCGAAAACCCCTGCTTTTTCTGTACGCAGTGTAAATTTTTCGATATTTTTCAATTTTTTTTCTACTTACCGGCAACACCTACTACCAAATCTTGCGTCCGTCCCTGATTGATGAGATGTTTGGGGCTATTGATGCTTATGTTCATCGCGGCCTCTACTACTTGGTTGCATATGTCTTGTGGTTTGGCTTAGGTTTTGTATTTCAAACGTCGTAACTTCTTCATACAATTTCTGATTTTAACGATCTTTATAACTACGTGTTCATTTTTTAAGTCTGCTATAACTTTCGTTAAGATTACTCCCGTTAAAATATAATATGTTTTTACTTACGATTTTATAAAAAAAACATCCATACATGCATTCATTAAAATGTATGGATATAAAGATCGTAATTAAAAAATATATTACTTTTTAACGAGGGTAATCTAAACGAAAGTTCTAGTAGACTAAAATACAAACGCATAGATATAAAGATTGTTAAAATCCGAAATTGTATGAAAACATTATGACGTTCGAAACACATGACCTAAGCAACCAAGTAGTCGAGATCGCGATGGACATAAGCATCAAAAGCCTAAAACACCTCGTTAATGATTGTTCAATGTAAGATGTTGAGAGAAAAACTTAAAGAAAACATTCATAAGTATTGAATGAGTACAAAAACGAAAATAAATTATTTTGCAATAAAAAAAAAATTAAGGAATATATGTGTACAAAAATATTAAGGACTAAATGTGTACAAAATGAGAAATATATTACCTATTAAGACATTTTTATCGGTTAACCTGAAATAACCGGTCATAAGGACTGAATGTGTACAGTTTAACAAGTTGAAAGAATAAATGTGAACAAAAAATAAACTCAGTGACCAAATGTGTAAAAATCGTAGAATATATTACCCTTTTAAGTCATTATGCCTTTTAAATATAGCTAGCTACCATCCTATTCGTATAAAAAACTACAAGTACATCCCTAATATGGATAAAAGGTTAGGTACATTTTGTCGATAATTGGTGTAGAGAGTAAAGTATGTTTTTATTTCCCCACCATTTGCCCATTTTCATTTATTATAAATGCCATAGAACTGAGATCTTACCTTGTTACAATGTCGGATGAATGAAAATTCTCACCATTTGTAAGTGTTGCAATCACCTTTAATCGACTATATGAAAATAAAATAACCTAAATTAGCAATACTTCCAGAGCTGCAACACAAAGATGGAAATGATCATAAATACCGGTATCTTGTAAATGTAGAAACGGACTAATAATCAGACTGGCTTGAACTATAACCTTCCCTTTGCATGATCTCAACCTTTTTATCATGATTCTGTAAGAGATTTGGCATCAATCTCAAATATAGCAAAAACCTTCAACAACTTAATATTGCATGGAAACCTACTACATCAATGAATAAAAAACATATTTTATTTTTCCTAGGGTTCTTTAATACATATTTTATTAACAAAAAATTCAATATTAAAGAGATACATACACACTTATATATGAATCACTGATTGCAATCCTTCAACATAACCATCACAACATTCATGTTGGCAGCTGTTATATGGTTACCTAATTTGGCTGTTATATAATCAACTTCGATTAACTGACTTAACCGCTATATATCCAACATATGCTGATATTATAGATTACCCTTCAACTAGGTTCGCTACACTTCAAAAAGGTTCGCTACTCTTTCACAAGTATTTTTGATGGTCATGGAACTTAAAATGAGCCAATAGGAAATGATTGTTAATTTGTGGAGACTAATTCACCTTTGACCCTCTAGTGGCGAGGCAGACCAGGTATGTGGTCCTGCCCTTGAAAGATGAGATTACAAGTTTCTTTAGGGAAAAGCATCCAAAAACGAAGAATCAAGTTAAGTATGATGAAATCTTAGATGAACAGATTGTAAAATCAATCAGTACTCCTAATAGATATGAATGTTCAAGAATTAGTGGAAGTTAAGATGAAACAAGAAGTGGTCGTTGAAGTTACACATGAGTAGGAAACCCCACCTCATAATGTCTACAGATCCACTACAGAAATAAGAGACCCACTCAGATATGCTCTTTCAACAAACTACTTGTTAACGACACAGAATGGTGAGCCTTAATATTTATCCAGAGACCTTGAAATGAAAGACTCAGAAGAAGGATATGGAAGAAGATTTGACCTCGCTTGACAAGAACCATACTTGGTCCTAGGTCAACTTACCTGAAGGAAAGAAAGCACTTCAAAACAAGTGGGTGTTTCGGGCCACAGATAAGATAAAATATGGTAGGAGGTACAAGGCTACGTTGGTTGTTAAAGGGTTCCAACATAAAATAGGGGTTGACTACGATGAGATCTTCTCTCTAATTGTCAAGATGACTACTCTCAAATTGGTCTTATGTATAGTTGTTATAGAAGATCTTCATCTAGAGTACATAGATGTGAAAATAGATTTTCAAAAGGGTGACCTAGAAGAAGACACCTACATGATACAACCAGAGGATTTTCTCACAATCAGAAAAGAAAACCCGGTGTGCAAGATGAAGAAATTTTTTTATTGGTTGAAGCAATATCCAAGGTAGCATAATTGAAATTTGATAGTTTCATACAGAAGAGTAGGTGAAGGAGATATGATAACGATACTGTTGTTACCAAAAAAAAGGTTGACTCCTTTCACATCATTATTTTAATATATGTTCATGACATGTTGATTGTTGGATTAGACATGCACACGAGATCAACAAGTTGAATAAATAGTTGTCATGAGAGTTCGAGATAAAGAACAAGGTTTTGCTAAGTAGAATGGGCATAAGCCTATCTAAAGATAGAGTTGTTGATACTTCGAAGAGTTCCCAAACAAAGTACATCACGAAAGTTTAGAGAACTTCAACATAGCTGATGCTAAACCAAGAAGTACACCATTAGAAAGTTAGTTGAGACTCTTAAATAAATATTCCCCGAAGAAGGAAGAAGAAAAAAAAGAGATGGATAAAGTTCCATACACCTCAATAGTTGTTAGCTAAAAATGTGTTAAGGTGTGCATTAGATCATATATTGCTTATTTAGTGGAATATATGAGTCATTTTTGTCCAATCCGGGGAGTAAACATCAGGAAGGATTCAAGTGGTTGTTATGTTACCTAAAAAGTACTTTTGAGGTTGCCTTATGTTTAAGGAGAAAAGTGGTAGTCTTGGAAGGATTTGTTGATGTTGATTTGGGGGGATTGTATGAATTAAGGAAAGAGTATAACCAATTATGTATTCATGATCAGAGGAACAACATTCAAATCATAATGTTCTAATAAGAAAAATAATGAAAGCAGAGTGATATATTTGGATAGATTTTTAAAAGTACTATACCTTAAGAAAAAGGCCAAACACATAATGCTAAGAAGGAAAAATGCAAATTGTTATTTCTTGCATATTTTTAAATAAAATGTTTTATCCGTTGTTGGAAAAATATAGAAAACATGATTATGATTTTTACGCTACTTTTCTTAGAATAAGAATAAACATGCTCTATAATATGCTTCCAAATTACACAACTATCATAGGCAAGAATTGAACCACTCAAACATTTGGGTTGAGGGACATCATGCCCTTTGGTTTATTTATGTTATGATAACAACAAAACAAATTAAGCACTTCAGAAAAACGTCAAACAAACTTCGGTGAAACTTGCGGAATAAAACATTTGAAAAAGTTAAATCAAAACTGAACACAATATTTAATGTAGTTCGATCAAACTTACATTCCTCCACAAGTGAGAGAGAGAGATAGAGGGGAGAGAGAGAGAGAGAGAGAGAGAGAGAGAGAGAGAGAGGATTTTATTAAACTTTCAGGAACTATTACAAACACTCATTATTGTATCTCACTTTTACTCTCACCGGAAAAAACTAGCAACTAACAGTGACGGGGATATGAACCTAATCAATCATGACTCCTAGCAGTATCATATGATCAATAGGAAAGACCCTAACAGTCTAGCATACCAAGACACCAAGTGTCTTATACTACACAAGCATAATAAGGAGGTAACCTAGTCAACGAGCATACTTGTACTCTAACAGTACCACTATCCTACCATGCAAAGCATATATAATAGGATACATGGCATAGTGAGAAACTCACCTGAACTAAAGAAACGGAAAAGCACAACAACACTCTCAAGCCTTGCATTGCTCAAACCCGTGAGCCAACTTCAATAAAAGAGACAGATCCTCAATTAACAACCCAAATCCTCTAAGTTTGACCCTAAGTCAAACTAGTCAAAATTCAACGGTCAAAGGTCAACAAAAGTCAATGGTCAACAAGTCTATGACTCCCACATCATTGCAAACTCTTAGCCACATTGTGGAAAGCTAAGGACGAAACAATCGAGCATCTGAGAAGCTCCACGTCATGGCAAGCTCTTAGCCATGTCGTGGTTTCTAGCAGAATGCCAAAATCTTCATTAAGTGCTTAATCCTTATAGATCTAAGACCATAACTTCAGATCTACTTCTTTTCAATGAATTAATGGATAAAGTTTCCAACTTTCTGCATTAGGACTCCATTCTAAGGCTAGATCTTCAATCCTAAGTCCATTGAGTCCTTAATGGGGCAAAACTTGTACATGGACACAAGGTGAGTCCAACATGACTCTTTTTTCCCATTCAGAACATATTGTGCATAGAGGAGCCATACCAACCTCTGGAGTTCCTCAAACTCCAAGAGCATCCATGAAAAGGACCAAAGCACCCAAATATGGCCTCAAACTTGAATCTATAAGGATAAGTATCAAGGTATGAGCTTTATACCTTCAACAACTTAGAAATCTAAAGAGGATGTTGGATCCAAACTTGTTCCTTGGCCCCTTGCACCAAGATGAACATCTCCTTTCCCCAAAGTTTACTAAAATCCAGATAATAAGCTCTAAATCAAGAAATCAATCCCTCAATCAAGCATGGAGGCTAGGATTTTTTTTGGAGGGTTGGAGGTTGAAGAGGATGCCCTAAACCTTGAGTTTAAGTGCTTAATAGAGTTGGAATTTGGTGGCCTGAACGAAAACAAAAGCCTGGAATGAAATGAAGAAACCCTGAATGGCAATTTCGAAGGGATAATGTTTAGAGTATGTTGAAGGCCGTTAGGCCGGAAGCCATACATGACAAACATTTATTCCATGGGGTGTTGAGGGGTGGGCACACAGTATGGGCCTATTTAGTTATTCCAAATTTACTTGTATATGGGTTCAGAGGCCATGTGGTTGCTACGATTTACGGTTATAAGTAGTCGTAATTATGGATTCCAATAACAACTTTTGACACAATCGAGTAATAAAAGAATTCTTTGGTTCCTGTCATGGATGTACGTCACAAATAAACCAAACCATGTTAAATCTTTGTTTCATTCTATCGTTTTCTTTTGCTTTCTTGCATAACACGTACCCCTGAAGGTAATACATTTATATCATGAAATGATGAAGAAAGGTGTTACTAAGTTAGGTGATAAGCAGGTAAATTTATACATATTGCCCATTCATGTTTACCTCATTACCTACTTTAAAACACGTTGTTTATGCTTCTATGGTGAGAACAAATGTGTTGTTGTATACAGGCAAATGACCGAATTCACCAAACCTCCGGTGCCCATGCTCATTTTGGGCTTACCGGTTTGCCGTTGCGGAAGGATAAAACATTTTCCTCTTTATTGACAACGATTTTCATTTTACCTAGGAATCATTAATTTCCATATTTCATGGTTATATCATTACTTTACAACTCTTGTTTCTTGATGAAAGTGAATTGACCAATGTTTGATTGTATACCCAGTAATTCTAAAGTGTGTGCTTAACTTGGATGTATTGTCTGCAGCTTCTCTTGTAGTTGTGTTTCCAAACGGTCTTCTTTGCAACTTTTAGTTAAGAGCATCAAGAAACGCACTAAAAGCTTAAAAATTCATATTTCATCCAAACTGATGAGGCAAAATTAGCCATTGCTTTAATGTTGTTCTATATGCAGAATAATCAAGCAGTCATTCTTCCGGTTCCTTAATTCAGGTTATTAAGCTTTCTATAACAAGGCAAATGGAAGCGATGTGTATAGCACAGGCCTGATCATAAAGCTGGCGAATTCAACTGCTTTCTAAATGTCATTATAGTGTTCATGAAAATCGCAGCAAGTTTAGAATCCTTTTAAAAGACCAATGATGACGGGCTATTGCCAATTAACCAGTCTATTTGTTAAACGTGACAATCATACATGAGTGTAGGATGTAATATTTAATAAAAGTAAGTATTAATTTGTTAAAAGCACACTTATAACCATAGAAATAGAAACCCGTGTACACTAAGTTTCTACTAAAACCAGCCTTTTTTCACTCTCTGTTTTGTATTCATCCACCAAGAAATAAGAAATTCGAGTATGGCCCTTCTTATTATATCTTCTTACCATTTATTCCTAATTAATTGTTAATGCTTCCGCTACCGCACAACAAACTGATATTAGATTACTTGTGTTAATGTAACATCACAACTAGAAATAATTAAACTGTATCATAACTTCATAATATCTTAGTAACTAATATAAATTGCAAAACCAAATAAAATAAAATAAAATAAAATAACACATGACATACTGTTTAAAGAAATCTTCGATGAAGTCTCAACGTTTTAGCACAGTTATGTTTTAGTTCCAAATTAACTTTTTTTACAAAAAAAGTCCTAAAAACCACTAAAAGATTGCATTTTGACCATTTTTTACAGGGGTTAGAACAAGTAATAAATTAATTTGGAACTATTTCGTAAACTAGCCCAAAATATTATGATTTTTCTAAAAACAAACTTTAGAAAAAACGTCATTTTTGGTACCTATGTTTTTTTCAGATCTAAAGTTTAATCCTAAGTATCAAAAATTTCATAGATGGTCTACGTGCTTTCAAAACTTTTGATGTTTGGTCTTTTTTTTGCTAACTCCGTTAGTTTTTTTGCCGTTAATTATTATTTGATTATAGTATTCAGAGGGCATTTCTGTCATTTTACAACCACAGGACAATTTATGATGTTTTGTCTTTTATATATATATATATATATATATATATATATATATATATATATATATATATATATATAATGAAGTTAGCGTAGTAGTCTAATTTTATTAGTTCTAGGGGTATTTTAGGAAACAATATTTTTATGCAGTTTTTGTGTTAGAGTAGTAGTCTAATTTTATTAGTATAAATAAAGTTAATGTTTAGGATGATTAAGTTAATTTTTTCCAGCAATAAAGTTCACAAGTAATTCATCGTTCTTGTTTTTTTCTTATTCTTTGTTTAGTTCATACATCGAGCACCAAGATAATATCAGGTGGTATTCTACACTTCGTATCAGAGTCTAGGTAATATCAGGTGGTACCATAATTGATGATATATATAATAATCCAACCCAAATTGAACACATGAGCATAAAGGAAAAGCATAACTTACTTGATATTCGAGTGCACTTTCAAGTATTCTAAGGACATCGGCCATCAACGGGCGTTCTTCCAAGTCTCTCTTCAAACACATATACGCTATTGTGATAAAAGCATCTAATGATCTGGGATTCATTCCGTCTTTTATGTTACTATATATAAGATCACTCATCTTGTTTTGAGGGTAGTAGTGTCGCACCAATCCTGTTAGCGACTGATGAATACCATTTTTGTTACTTATACACAACCTCCCACACAACACTTCAAACAACACTACCCCGAAAGAATAAACATCTGATTCCTTTGTTAATAAACCTGTTTCAATATATAGTGGATCACAATAACCAAGAGTGCCTACGACGTTGGTAACAAGAAAGGTGTGTTGTTGATTGGCAGGAGCAAATTTGGACAGACCGAGATCTAAGATCTTGGCATTCCAGTTCTCATCCAGTAGGATGTTCGAACTCTTAATATCACGATGTAACACTCTTTGTTGAGTCCCACCAGGATTATGAAGGTATGCTAGTCCACGAGCTGCCCCAATGCAAATCTGAAGTCTTTGATTCCAAGTTAGATCATCTCTATTGAGATATGAGTCAAGACTTCTCCTAGATGCGTACTCATATACAAGGATCTTTTCGTTACTCTCGTCGCAAAACCCTAATAGAGAAACAATATTTTCATGCTTGTAAATAGAAAGCATAATAATTTCCTTCCAAAACTCAGGGTTTCCTTGTCCAAATTTTGGATCTAATCGCTTTAAAGCAACAACTATCTTCTGTCCTTTGGAATGAACAAGCTCTCCCTTGTATACTTTGCCAAACCCACCTCTACCGATGCAATTTTCATCCGCAAAGTTGTCGGTTGCTAATTTTATGGCTCCTAGTTGTATCTTCAGGTTTTCAAACTTAGTTATGAGATGCATCATTTTGATGGTAGAAATTAATATATCTGAAAACAAAGTTGAGAGCTTCAGGGAATAGGTTGACAGCTTCAAGGAAAAGCGTGATGATAGAAATAAAATGGATAAAACTTTATCTTTCTCTTTATATCACCAAAAAGACAACCGCAGTTCCGAATAATTTGTTTTTTATTCATTTTGATTATTCAAAAGTATTATTATTTCCATCATTAAAATTAATTATTTTAATTAATGGCTCAATAATTATATTAGGTTAGGTGTAATGGCGATAGGTGGGTATATAGTAATGAAATAGTTTACCACTTAGCTTGTTTGGAACTTATCGGTTAATGCTCGCTTTTATAAAAGAACCCTTTAATTGATGAGATAACAAATGTTTTTTTTTTTTTTGGTAGAAGTTGGCTATTTGAGATAATTACGTTTTGGAGTAAGTTACGCCAATATTTTCAACTACAAAACAACCTTCACACAAATCAGTGGGTAATGGGCTTTACATCCACGCATTTACTTCCGACGGATTACCCACAAACAATTTTTCCACTGATGTTAGTGACGATTTCGTGGATAATATAACATATTATTTCATATCTATGTATCTATACCTATATCTATATCCATATCTATATCTATCTACATTATTAAAAAAGTGGTGCAATAGTTACAGCACAATCTGTAGCTATAAGCGGATAGCTACGGAATTGCTACGGAAAATTGGCTGTAGCATAATGGCCCGTGGCTAAATTATAGCTACGGATTAGCTACAGAATAACTACGGGATAGCTATGCAAATTTTCGTAGCTACTATAGTTACGGAATAGCTACGGAAATAAATAGTTACGGATTTCCTACGGAATAGCTACGGAACTAGATAGCTACGGAATAGCTACGGAACTAAATAGTTACGGATTTCCTACGGAATAGCTACGGAACTAGATAGCTACGGAATAGCTACGGAACTAAATAGCTACGGAATAGCTACGGATCCAAATAACTACGGAACTAAATAGCTATGGATCAAAATAGTTACGGAATAGCTACGGAAATCCGTAGCTATTCCGTAGCTAACTTCATTTTATTTTAAAAAAATTTAATTTAAGATTTTCCAATTTTTTGTCAAATACCACATTCAATTCACATTTGTCCCAAATACCATATAAAATACACCAAAAAACGTCCCTAATACCAAGTTTGACACATTTCATTCAATTATCCAAAATATCTTACAAAAGTAAGCACTACTTTACAAAACAAACAATATCAAATGTTTAGAAATTCGATTGTTCCAAAATACTTATCAATTGTCCTCAGGTGGATTATCAGGGGGATTACGGGGTTGATTTCCAGACATATTCATCATCCTCATAACCATTTCCATTTGTTCTTTCATTTGTTGTTGTTGTTGTTCCATGGTAGAAAGTTGTGCACGCAACCTATCAACCTAAAAAAAAATGGCAACACAATGCAATAGTTAAACAATATTAGCAATGTACTTTAGTTTATTATAACAATGCATTTTTGTTTATAATACTTATAGCGATATACTTAACTTTTAACAATAATAACAACGCACTTATATTTATTATCAATTTAATCAATATTATCAACAAACTACCTAACTTTTAACAATAATAGCAACATACTTTTGTTTATTATCAACTTAATCAATATTATCAACATACTAATTAACGTTTAAACCATAACAACATACCTCTTGTTGTGTACTATCCGATTGTGTGGATTGGGAAGACGATGTCCCAGAAATCACAAAATGTATATCTGATGCTCCTATGCCATAGATATCACCCTTCTTCTTTCCTTTTCTCCTAAGTTGGGTTTCCTCCCATACCTCCGCATCATCTTTATGGTTTGAAGAGTCTTCTCCGTATTTTTTGACCATCTCATGTAGATAAACCTCCTACAAATTACCAAAACAGTATCATTATCATGTACAAAAATACTAAGACAATCAATATACATAAATGATAAAAGATAAGTTGCTTGTGCTTCTTTGGCAATTTGTGAGCAATATTCGAGATTTTCATGATCCCCCGCAAATTATCTTTTTTTCGCTTCAGCTGTGCCATGCGTCTTCATGAAAACATCAAATTGTGTAGGCGGTTTACCCATCATCTTTTTTTACATAAAATAAAAAGTATACTTGATGCAGTTAGTGTTAAAAAAATAAGATAATAAAATTTATAATTATGATACTTACTAAGTTGTTACGGTGCTCGTCAAATCCTATACTACCCGCGGTGTGCCTAGCTGTCGACCCATTAGCATCTGCGACTTTGCGGTTCTGCTGAGCAATTTTTGAATTCTTTCTCCACTTATCTGTCGACCAATGCTGTGAAAAGAAAAAAAAAATATAAGTATAGTAATACAATAGGAAATTAAAAAACAACAAAATAGATAATAAAGTATCATATCCATTACATCACACAAACGTGGCCACACATTCTCCGGTACGCACACGGGGCGATAGTTATGCATCCCTTCGTAGTAGGTACAATGACATGGGGGACGGGTTTCCCATCATTTCGTGTCATGTCCCCAGATTTAATCCTGATATGCTTCATCCGATCCCTGTATCTATCCTTGAGGACACACTTGAAGGCATCAAATATGTTACTATTTTCTAGTGAATTCCACCTGCACATGGTCAGTAAAAAATAAAAAGTAAATTTAAAAATACAAAGTAAAAACAAATGAGTATAAGATACAATAATTTATATTTAATATATTGCCTTGAAATGCGAAAACATCTGCAAAAGAGTCTCATAGGGAATATCACTAAACCGGGGCCACGGATGATCCATATTCTCCCAATAGAGACTAATACACGTGTTGTGGATTTTCCTAAACCCAAACCTACATTGAAAAGAACTATATAAGTAGAATTTTAGCATCAAAAATTAAAGTTTTAAAATATGAAAACACTAACTTTTTCCCTTTTCATCTGATGAGGGCAACGAAGACTCCTGAAAATCACTCGCATTCGAGTCGTGACCGCCTGTAACACCTCTAGAGGTGGAGCCATGCGGCGTCGGTGGCGTGTTTGGTGGCTGTGGCGTGTGCAGGGTCTGTGGTGACCGAAAGGTTGTCTGTGCATCTGCACCCTCAAAATAGTACTCCTCAAATCCATCACGACCACCCGGCCTCAAAACCGTTTGTGGGGTCGGCAACTCAACACCTGTATTTGGAAACTCGGGCGTATAACCCATTTGTGGGGATTGGGGCCTATAAAACGTCTGTTAGAGGTGGGTCCTATAATCTGTCTGTATGAGTTGGGACATATGACCCAACCCTCAAGCCTGATGGCGAAGAATCCCTGCCAAGTATGCTAAAGGATCAGCCATCTCGGTTTGTTCATTGATGGCACGCTGACTGTTGGAGCCTGCGACTTCTATCACTATCGGCATATCGATCGGCATGAGTGATGTCCTAAAACGTGGCTTGTCGGTAGAATTAGGGGATAACCCTCCCCCCCTCCTATTCCCCGCACTGCTAGAAGAAGTGTTGGTATTGTGGCTTTTATCCTTGCGTCCATTACCTGACATGCTGCATTTAATAGAACAAGAATGGTTAGATATATAATATAAGATTGATAAGTCATGACAAAAGAAATGTTTAAAACAATGGGATATCCAAATCAAAATCATTAACAAAACAACATTTAAACAATACAATAGTCTTCAAAATGACAATGCTCCTAACATCAACAAAAGATAATGCTCCTAACAAAAGACAATGCTCCTAACATTCGTACCCATCATCTTCATCTTCAAATTCTTCTTCTGAATAATAAAACTCGCTTTCATCACCTCCGTCTTCAAAATCTTCCACTTCTTTGTCTTCCCCCTCAATTATCTCACTCTCTTCATCAGACGTTTGCTCATATGTATTTATAGTTGAGGCTAGGCACAGTGGTTCCACACGAGTTACAGTAAGGGGTGACTCAAACCGTTCTTCAACCTGAAATACTTCATTTGCTTCCATTTCAGCTTCGGTGACTTCAAATACCCCTCTTGGTCTTGTTTTGATAACCGCCCACTTATCTTTCGTCTCATTTGTCATTGAAGGGTATGGTGTATAAAACACTTGTTCAGCTTGTGATGCCAAACAAAAAGGATCGTCAGTTTGAAGTCGAGATTTGGTTTTGACATCAACCAACTTGTTTTTATTGACTATTACACCGTCTTTGTTATCAAACCAAATACAATTAAACAGTACAAGAGTCGACGGTCCGCTACTATAATACTCAATCTCTAAGATCTCCTCCAATATGTCGTAGTAGTCTGACTCTTGTTCGGCATTATACGTCTCCCCTCTCACACATACTCCAAAGTTATTTGTCGTACGACCCTCGCCGTATTGTTGAGTGTGGACCTTATAACCATTTACAAAATACTCATTATGAAAATAAGCATGTCTCGATGGTTTCGTAGCTATAACTTCTAAGTGTCTAGCACTTCCATCGGGTGTCTTATACATTATCCACATTGAAAACATACACACATTTTGTTGGTTAATGATGCATTAATAATAATCAATACGATTGAATCGGTTCTACTTACTCTGTCCTCATACCATTCAGCAAAGTATTTATCTCTTAAATTAGAAACTGATTCATTTGGATTCGTTCTCATGACCATTTCATCAAACTTGATGATGTAAGGGTTAACTTCTTTACAATTAAGTAATATGTAAATGTGTGCTGTGTGAAGGAATTTATCACTTAAGGGTTTTCGTTTTCCACTTTTTTCATATAATCTTCTTGATGGGACGACAAAGATGCTAAGTGGAGCTCTGCCACTCGAAAACTTGTGACTTTGTGGTGCAAAATTTCGTGCTTCTCGATTATGGTGTGTCTCAATCGTCGGGTCAAAATATAGCGAACAATAGGTAGCGAGCTCATTCACTAGATGTTCATTGACAATTGAACCCTCAAATCGTGCTTTGTTGTTGATTCTTCTTTTAATTATGTCTAATTTCCTATATTATAATGTATGGACGATGTGTTAGGAATACCATAAATAACTTTAAAAATGCTATGTGTAATATTAAAACAGGGATATTACCTCTTGTATTGGTACATCCATCTATAATGTACCGGACCACCAAAAATAGCTTCATCAGCTAAATGTATGTCCAGGTGTTCCATGGAATCAAAGAAGCTAGGAGGGTATATTTGTTCCAACTTGCACATGGTCTGAACAATACAACATTTCATATCGAACAAGTCCTGAAAATGCAACATTTTCGATCACAATACTCGAAAGTACATGGATATCTTTGATACGGCCTCATATATCTTTGTTGGAACAAACCCTCTTATAGCTAGGGGAAGCAACCGTTGCATAAACACGTGACAGTCATGGCTTTTGAAGCCGTAAAAACTGTAATGTTTGGTGTTTACACAATTACCTATATTTGATGCACACCCGCTACGAAATTTTAGTTCTTTCAACCAATCACATACTTTTTTAACTTGTTCCTTTGTCAATGTGTACTTTCATGGGTTCTTCCTAGCTTTCCTATTGTTGTCCCTAATGGGGTTTATTATAGGTCGATCACATAGCGTCTCAATATCCTCTCTTGCCTTCATATTGTCTTTGGACTTTGGGGTACCTATCGAAATGTGAAACATATTTTTAAAAAAATTCTTCTCAATATGCATCAAATCGAGGTTGTGTCGGATCAACAGGTGACGCCAATATGGAAGCTCCCAAAAGATGCTCTTCTTTACGCAGTTATGTGTAATACCAAAACCATATGGTTTTATATAATTTGGACCATATGGAGTACCGTTGTATACAGTGGAAAAATGTTGGATTTTCTCCCAAATATATTCTCCGGTTGGGTACGGAACAGGCACTTCATAACCCTTCACTTTCTTGCCTTTTAAGAAATTAATTGTATCATTTCGGAATACGTGTCTTTCGGGTAGATGTTTTCTATGACAGTCAAACCAACACGGTTTTTGTCCGTTGTAAAGCCGAAATGATTCTGTTTGGTGCATGCAATATGGGCTGGAAAAATTACCATGAGTGCTCCATCCGGACAACATTGCATAAGCAGGGAAGTCACTAATTGTCCATAGAAGTACAGCCTTCATCTGAAAATTGGTCATTCGATGAGTGTCATAAGTTTCAATGCCATCTGTGAACAACACCTTCAACTCGTCCACCAAAGGTTGTAAAAAAACATCCAAATTCTATCCGGGACTCTTCTTCCCAGGAATAATCAATGGAAGTTGTATGTATTGACGTTTAAAAGCCAACCAAGGGGGTAGGTTGTAAACAGTGAGAAACACAGGCCAACACGAATAGGGAGTCGTGTTTGAATTATTTGGAGTAAACCCATCAGTGCACAACCCGAGACGTATGTTGCGCTTCATATTTGGAAAATCATAAAATTTTCTGTCAAAATGATTCCATGCTTCACCTTCACTGGGATGTATCGTCTTTTCTGGATCTACTAAATGATCTGCATGCCAAGTTAAATGTTTGGTAATCTTCCTTGAATAGAAGAGCCTTTGAAGTCTCGGTCCAATTGGCATTTAAGTCATGACCAAATTAGGAACCTTTCTCCCTTTGGCTTTGTATCTATTTTCTCCACATACTGGACAATGATCCATATCAACAAACTGGCCCCTGAATAGCATGCAATGGTTTAAACATACATGAATCTGTTCTGAAGGCAATTTTAGTGGCTTCAACATTTTCTTGGTCTTGTAGAAGCTATTAGGAAGCTTCTCTCCAGTTGGTAGAATGTCTTTAACAATCGAAAGTAGTGTATCAAATGACGTGTCTGAAACATTAGATTGGGATTTCCAATCCAATAATCTAGTAGTGGCAAAGAGTGTGGAAGTTTTTGTACACCCGTCCCATAAAGGCTCACTCGCTTGTTTCAAAATTTTATTAAAATTTTGGGCTTCAAGATTTGGGTGTTGTGGTGTTTGTTGATAATACGAAGCCTCAGGTTGGTGCATGCTATCGATAACCATCTCATCGTATCTATGATAATTACTAAAATCGTTATTAATGTGTTGAACTGTTTCACTATTTGAACTTTGACCCACGTGTTGAGGTGAAATTGGGTTTGAACATTGACCTATCTCTAGTGTTGGATATTTTTCTCCATGTAAATACCAATGTGTATAACCATTCATGAAGCCTCGATTAACAAGATGGCTAAAAACTAATTCTCTTGGAAGGTAATAAATATTTTTGCATTCCGCACACGGACATCTAATTTCAAAAACTTCCACCCCTTCCCTAATGATGTGTTGGATGTTTGTTGCGTTCGCGTAAGCAAAATCCAAAAACAAATTGACATAATGTCGCCATTGTGGATTAAACAAACGACGATTATCGAATCTCTTTGTGTACATCCATTCTCTATTAGACAACATTTCGATCTAAAACTACATTTCGATATAAAAAATGTTAAAACTTTAAACTAAACATGAAGTAATAGTGTAACATCCCATTTAATCTAATATATATATAACTAATGATACATAAAAAGCCCATAAAAATTATTAACATAATACACATATATAACTAATGATACATATATAACATCCCATTTAATCTAATATTTTTAACAAATTTATAAAATTAGCCAAACATTTCAACAAAATTAACATATTTAACAAATTGAAGTTCACAACATTTTTTATATAACATTTATATCACATTTAAAAATTTTAAAAACTGTAACAGCCCGTCATTTCAAGTCAGTAAAAATCGAGTCCTGTAACCTATTCGAGAAAGGAATTAGAATATCATCGAAAACTGAAGTATTCAAAAACTCTATTTGGAGTACGCTATGTGGTAGGTATCGTCTTAAGGTTTCCAAACATATAAATAACACAAAAATCTGAGTTATAACGAAGAAGTTATGACCATTCTAAGTTTTTCGACAAAAACCAGCAGTACGAAGTTACGTAAAAACGCAAAGTTTCAATAAAACACTTTCTGACCTTAGGTGTCTAGATGAAATTCATAGATATCGTTAATCTACAAACATGCATAAAAAGAACGCTCAAATCGGACATCGTATGAAAAAGTTATGAATTTTTAAAGAAATTCCTTAATCACGTCATTTTAATAAATAAATAATAAAAATAATTTCGGAATTTGCCAACGAAATCTAAATGAAAGTTGTAGATCGTAGTCTCACCTTCGCGAGGATATAAAGAACGCCGGAAACGAAGTTCGTATGAAGGAGATATGACTTTTTGAAGTTTGATAAATAATTTATATATAAATTTTATTAAAAATTCGGTATTATCCGAAGGGGAGTCAGCCTAAGGCCGTAGTACGCGCCGCGTACCCTCGTACGCCCCGCGTACTCGAGGCCACGGCCTCGGATCATCCACGTCTCCCCTATGCGAGCTACCCCCCCCCTCCCGTCCGAAGCGTTGCAGCCGAGGATGCGGTCAGCAGTGACGTCCCGTACGCGCCGCGTACGGGCGTACGCGCCGCGTACGGGAGTACGCCCCGCATACTCATGCCTCTCAGCCCCCTATAAAAGGGATGCGAGGGATTCCGGAAAAATTGCTCATTCACTCTCCTTTTTCTTGCGTTTTGCCTCGTTTTCCGTGCTCGCACTACCCCAAGGCCCTGGTCATTTTGTGCAAGTCCCGAAGGTCGATTTTACTCCCGAGAATCCCGAGGAAAATCCATTTCCCGAGACGAAACTCTATCCGGTTTTCCATCTTGATATCTTCAAACTTTCAAGTGAGTTCATACCCCTTTCAAACACACTTTAAATACATTTTAAATACTTTTATACTCTTTTAGGGGGGAATACAAGTAAACATACGGTTATTATCGTGTATTTTATAAAGCTTCACTTCGCTCGTTTTACCGAATAAATCACTTGGAACTCATTATTATTATGGAAAACTCTTGTCATACTTTGTGTGCATTAGACTTATGCAAAGTATATAATGAATTCAAAGTACCGTTCATTGTTAAGTCGTTTTATACATTCTAAAAACTTATGATATAGGCTTTGTCAAACATTGTGAAAAAGGATAAACTTTGCATACAAAAACTATCACTTTAATACAGGCTTAGTTGAGAATCCATGAGACGTGTATATCTTCAAACGTTACTTTTCTTTATTAGAAAGTAATGCTGCAAGTCCTGTCTATAACCAGAGTCTCCCGTTCAGAGAACGTGTCAAATGTGTATAGATCTATACGGGAAGTCATGATCCCGTGCCCTGACTGTTAGCTACAGTCCGTCTTTTGGGGTGACAGTTTGTCATAACACTGCGACGCCTGAAGAACGTCGTTACAGGCATATCATGTTTAGTATGGTTATAAAACTCATCGGATATACAATTATTATGGTATTGTGCTTTTATGAACGAGTAACTGTTAAAAACTATTCTTCATCTAACTAATGCGATCTTCGTATAGCTTTATTATATAAAACTATGACACAACTTTTAAGAACGTCGTTTTCTTGCGATTTTCGGTCTTAGAGACTGCCAGTCATGTTAGGAAAATAAGGGTTTTTCCTGTATACAAACCAAACAACTAATAGGAAGATAAGGGATTTTCCTGGTGCAATTATTTACAACTTATGACACGAACATTCATATGCATTTCATACTTTTATAAGAAAATAAGGGTTTTTCTTGGAAAACACAACAAATCATATCTCCACCATTAGGGAAAATATGGGATTTTCTGGATCTAATACATTCATTTTCAATACAACAAGTCATAACTCTTCACACTTGAAATACTGAGTTTTCTGTAAAGCATACACCCATTTTGGAATGACATCCAATTTTTCTAAACTACTTATGAACTCACAAACTTAATTGTTGACACTTTTTCTTTGAATTAACTTGTATTCTCAGGGAACCGCTAAGCATGTTTGGGAATCAACTTTTAGGATTAACGCGCTGGCGTTAATTACTTCTTTTGAATGATGTTTATGTATTTAACTTTTGAATATGTAATGAATAAAATTATGTAAACATCTTGGAAACTAATATATATATATATATATATATATATATATATATATATATATATATATATATATATATATATATATATATATATATATGGTGGTGTGTACTTTCCTTTCTACGAACTATTATGATACTGAATATGACGTCCTCCGCCCTAGAACGTTTCCGTTGTTCTGGTTTGGGGGTGTGACAAATTGGTATCAGAGCTTTGTTTATAGGGAATTAAGTATATCAAAACCATTTGTTTTTGGTATA